ATTTTTACACAATGGAGTATTACTCAGCTATAAAGAATGATAAACTCAAAGCCTTTATATTGAAGTGGATGCCACTTGAACATATACTCATAAGTGAAATAAACCAGACACACATGTGTAAATATCATATAGTTTCTCTAGTACAATAACTCAAAAGTAGAAATACAAATAGAAAGGTATAATAAAAGTAAAAGGAAAGCAGGATCTCGAGGACTAACTAATCAAGAGAGGGAAAGGAGAAGAGCTAGGAAACATGAAAATGTCAAGCCATACAGTTATATGTAGAAGATGGGCAAGGCAATGATCCTGAGAATCTCCAGAAGATTTTTGAATCTAGCAGTGAAATGGAAATATTCTCACCCTGACCTACTATATATACTGATACCTGTGAACTAAGCAAATGCACTGAAGATGGTAATCTATAATAGTAGTTTCATGCTTGGAGTGCCTGTCATTCTGGTCATCTGAATATGGGCTGCTTGTCATGACCTGCCAGTTGCTGCTGTGCTGTCTCTTGGGTAGATGATTGTTTAAAAAGAAGGAGGTGGTGAATGAAGGTAAGAGATAGGAAAAGGAATATTGTGGGACTGTCCTGCTTCAAGGTTGTATATCATTAGATTTTTGGACTTATGTGTAAACATAAAAAGTATATAATTTATGCCTATTTTAAAAATATATTCTAATTTTTAAATGTTTTTTCATCATATTCTTTAGGGACTTAAAGTTCAACATATCAATACTCGATGAAAAATGCCTGTTCCATGTTATACCTAAGATGTTTGATATTCAGACAGATAGTGAGGTTAAGCTTAACAGCCTAGGTTGTATGGTAATAACAATAAGCTTGTCTTCTGGATGGTTAGCAACCTAAGTTTACAGACCAAAATTAGAGAAAAAGGAGGGCTGCAAGGAAAGCCAACATTTTGGCCCTAGCCTTCCAAGGTAAATTAAGACTCAAGACATATGAGAACTGGTACTGTAACATCATGTAACTCGGTAGTGTCCCAAATTTTCTGATCAAGGAGATTATGGGGCCAAAGAGGAATGTGATCGATGATGTAGAGTGTGCCTAAGGAGAGTCACATGGAGAGAAAACATTCTCTCAGGCTTTCACAGAGAGCACATTGGCAAAGCAATGGCCATGACTCATCCACATGGCTGACACTGGCAAAGGTTCTACAATCTGAGGTACAGGATCTCAGGATAAAACCTGAGGGGATTTCACTAACCTTATCAGACTCAAAAGCTACAACTCTTGTTGCATAGGTCCTGCTTTACCTTGATCTTAACCATCCAACAGAAAAGTATAGAGATGAAATATAAGAAGTAAAACCATGGTGTTATGTTGAGCTGTAGGGGACTCAGGTCAACAATTTCTGACATTGCCAGTGAAGTGGAAGACCCAATACTATTATGGACTACTGAACTCTTTTAGAATATTTTGCTGAGTTTACACACCTATAATATTTAAATGATAGAACTTAACAAAAAAGGGGATACAGATGAATGCCCATTTAGTTAGGATAAATATATAGTTACATTCTCTTACTGAATAGAGGGATTTGTTCTAATGATGTTTGTAAATAAGATATCAAGTCTGCGTCTTGTACAGCAATTAACCACCAGGAAGAATGTATGCAATGTGTTAATTATTGAAACTGTCCTACCAATTTGATTTGAAGCTGTCTCATTGCTATTTGTTTCTCAATAAAATTGTGGAAAAATAAATATAATAAAACAGGCTACTAGGTCAAAAGTTAGGCAATCTTTCACTGATAATTGAACACTAAGGAAGTAGACAATAGTATAAGTTATTTAGAATAGTTACAAATGTCCAATTTTATGTTACAGCAGCTACTGATAGAAGTGCTCCAGATTCTGGGGAAATTGGGTGAACAGATGGCATTTCACATCTCTTTCATGATCATTTGAAAAGGAATTAGCTGCCTTTGAATAGTTCTGGTACCTGTCCTGGCAAAAGAGCTAGGTGTGAACCTTAAGGTTGACTTACAGTTTACTATGCTGTGCTGCAATTAATTGTATTATTATTGTTCAGTAATGCTACTGTCAGGATGATAGCTTACAGCTAATGAATATCTTTTAAGAAAAAGGTTCTTGGGGCTGGTGAGATGGCTCAGTGGTCTAAAGCACCTACTTAGAGCAAGCTTAGCAAAGCACAGGGACCATGGTTCAATCCCCCAGCACAACATGCCAGCCAGCCCCGCCCCCTGGTGGGCTGAGCTGGCCACACACACACACACACACACACACATAGATAAATAATTTTTTAAAAAAGAAAAGAAAAAGGTTCTTTCTTAAAATAAGGCCATGTCTATAACATTCCGAAATTACCTCCCCACCTGCCTACACTGACAAAAGAGAAGCATCACATTACCTCTAAGTGACAAAACACTAGCACTCCTTAGCAACACTTGCATCAGCCTGGGGTTGCCAAAGCAGTGCAGATGCCTGCCTCTACCCACATATTTCATTACCTGATTACTAACCCAGAGATGAGATCAACCCAGACTGGCAAGCCACAAGGTGGGAGGTACTGGTGGGTTCAGGAGTCTTCTCTGTGGCTATTATGGAGAAGGATGGAAAGTTAACAGTGCCAGGTCCAGGGAACTAAAAATGTGCTTTCTTGTGAAGAGAGGTCCGCATTGCTGACTGTCCTGAGGCTGCCTCCAGCCATTAGAACTTCACAGTGGAAAGAGGGGGAGGCAGGGGTGACGTGGAGACCACACACACACACACACACACACGCACGCACGCACGCACGCACACACACTGACTTAACTAACACCCACACAAGAAATGGAAAAATGGTGAGGTCCTTTGTCTCAGATTGTCTGAGTTCTGCCACTTATTTGTTATGAGGACTTAAAAGAGTTACTCTTCCCGGAGCTTCTGTTTCCTTGTTTAAGAAATGAAAATCGTGATACTGTCTCTTCATTACTGTAATCGTGAAGTGAAATAATGCTGTAAAGTATTTGCCAAAATGTCCGGCATGATCAATTTAAAAGTATTACTAATATTTTCTCAATATCAGCCTCTTGTGGAGAACTGGCTCACGGAGGCTTTGGGAATGTTTGGGATGAATGGATGAATTCCACTTAAAAGGTGACTTGAAAGCTCCACACTTACTACCTAGCTATTTTTTCCCAAAATAATTGTTTATAAAATTTAAGGAGTAATGCTGATACAGCCATGTATGCCTCCTACACACAAAGACAAACATAACTTAAACTTAGAGAACAACGAGTTGTTTTTCTCCAACAAATGTACTTAAATGTATACACCAAAAAGAGCTTTAACCTTCAGGGGAATCACATCAGGAAGCCATACACTGACTGCAGTAATACTGCCAAGTATTTTTGGAACTGTTCCTCCAAAATTACCTTCAGAATCTGCTTCAATTTTTTTAGATGTCTTCATTGGCAGAAAAATTTTATCCTCTTGGAGTTTTTCATTTTGAAAGCAAATTTAAAACCAACTCTTAGGACTAAAGTAGAGACATCACCTCTGATCAAAAATGAGGAAATAAGGGCTTTTTTGCATGGCTACTCACATGCCTCAATTCTGGACAGAGAATCCCTAAAATATTTCAGATCAATGGAAGCACGTCAGAATTAATGTGCCACTTTTAGAGTGAATGACAAGTTCTGTGCTTAATTATTAAATTCTACTAAATTCCTTCTACAGCACTACACATTAAGATAGCTTCTAGAAAATTTTCTATACAGAAGCTTAGCTAGGGCTCACATCTTATAGACACTGTCTCTTTATTCTACAAAAGTGAAACACTGACTGTGGATGCAGAACTAGGGAGTGGAAAGCCCAAGCAAGGAGTCTAAGTCGTAAGGACTTGGCAACTGATGAGAGTTGGGTTGAGGCAGAGAAGCCCAGAATCAAATCCAGACTGTACTTAGTGTATGTGCTAGATTTCCTAGAAAGCACAAATTTCTGTGCATTAATGATTATGCTTTCTGTTGAGGTCCTTCTGTTTGCTTTTCATTGTTTCATTTTTGGTTTGGTTTTGTCTCAAGTTCATGTAATTTAAAATTGTGAATGATATTATATCTCTCTGTGAACTGTTTTAAAACCTCAGCATAGTTTTAAGAAGCATTATCTAAATTCTTTATCTCTTACCTCCTCCTAGAGTTATAGAAGGAAGCACTCTCATACTCACTTCCAACCTTTCTTTCTTTCCCTCTTTCTTTTCTTTTTTTCTCTTTCTTTCTTTCTTTCTTCTTTCTTTCTTTCTTTCTTTCTTTCTTTCTTCCTTTCTTTCTTTCTTTCTTTCTTTCTCTCTTTCTTTTTATGTATCTGGTACTGGGTCTCACTATGCAGCTCAGACTCATAGTGATCCTCCTGTTTTCAGCCTCCCCAGTGCTAGGATTACAGGCATGCACCACCACTCCCAGTTTCAGTGGATGGCTCAGCGTGCCTGGAGGCAGGGCCTGCATGGCATGTGGTGCCAGAGATCGAACCCTGGCCGCTGTGCTTGCCTAAACAGGCACTTAGTCTGCTGAGCTACCTCACTGGCCCTTCCAACCTTTCTAATTACCTAGATCAGGCTGTTTTTCTCCATGCTCAGGCCTCTTCCCCCAGCAGCACCTGCAGCCTTGTGCCAGGAGCAGTCTCTGTTCCCAGAATATCTGCTCACATCCGTTTCAAAGTGCCCCTCCTTCAAATTCACTCTTTCCATTGCATCATTGTTAGACTAATAGAGAAGGAAAAAAGGAGGTAGGGAAGGAAAGACGTTGAACCATTTTCTAGTTCTCTTTGATAAAACACTTTTTCATATTTTACTCATAAGCAAAACACTTAGATTGATTCCCTTTTCTCTCTTTTGCTTTGAAATTCGAGTTTTCAAAACAGCCTCATGCCAATGCTAAGGGCAGGTTGTTGGCCAGCCATTCAGATAAAGACAACAAGCCCAAGAAAGCATATTTACACACATTTTTAATTATTATGCTGGAACTTTTTTATTTCAGGACAAAAGAAAAATACAGGAAGAAATCTCACAGAAACGACTGAAAATAGAAGAAGAAAAACTCAAACACCAACACCTGAAGGTAACTTATGACTTTAATTTTATTTTAATAATTTTGTATTCAAATATCCTGATGGCCTTGAATTTCAATACTAAAAATGCCTTAGGAAGAAAAGAATTCCCATATACCCCTACTGATATTCTAATAACCACAGAAGAAGCCAACAAACTAGGACTATTTGCATATGAGATTAATACCTTCTGGCAAGCATGGAAGTAGAAAACACGGTTTTATTACTTCTAGCTTTTAGTAATGCAGTGCCTAATTTTCTCCAGTGACCTTGAGATTTAGCCTTGAGAAGTTGGCCCTGACAGTCTTGCTTAACATCCTCAGGGAGTGGATCCAGCTCTGAAGTTTCCTTTTGAAATCAACAAAAGGCCAACCATACCCCAGAGGGTACAGAGCAGACAGTCTAGTCTGGTCAAGGATGCTTGTGTTTGAAAGCTCAAAGCAATGACTCCAATGTTGTTCGAGTGTGGCCTCTGCTTTATTTTATTTTGACAGAACACAGATGAGATCATAGCCACAAATACACTTCCATTTTTAAAATCAGACTTTACATCTTTAACTGGGTGTGGACATTTTGTAATTAAAGCACAATGAGTTTCAACATTTTATTGCATAGCTTAGTCGCAGGATGTAAACAAATGACAAACAGGACCTCCTTGGGAAGAGGCCCGAGCAGAAAACCACACTTATCTCGGTAGGCTATTGTCAAAAGAGTTCATGAATTTCCTCAATAAAACAGTGCTACATGCTTGTGGGATCTCCAAACTTAAGTGAAACTTGACAAATTTGGCTAAATCCGTTTTCCTAGTGGAACAAGTAGCCAGCCGTAACAAAGCACATTTAAGAGCGATTCCCCTTCCTGCGCAGGATTCTCATGCCTTCTTTGCTTCTATTGGACAAGTTAACATTTCTGTTGTTTGCTATATAGATGACATCATACTTAACTGCTGTCCCTTCAGTATGGGGCACTGAATTTACACTGAGGAGTAGGCACTGTCACTCAAGAAATGCAGTGTGTACCAGACAATCAATAAATTAAAAGTAAATCCTTCTAAATAATTTCAGTGCAATTTCAATAAAGTCACTCAAATCCAGAACAATTTTTTGACATTTTATTTATTTTATTTTATTTTTTTCTTTCCATAATTTTATTTTT